ATATCTTGTAAATCTGAACCCAACAAGAAAGAATGGAAACAACTGTTTGTGAAAAATATATAAATATTTTCTCTCTTACTTTTTCTGTCTCCTTATATTATTACATAGATTCTAAAATTTTAAGTGTTGTGGTATAATGGAACATCATGTTTACATATCAACTTATTGGACACCATTGGACATGCTAAGAGAAAATGTGTCACATGGGTCACACTAGTGTAAATTCAGGATTTTTTAAATATTTCCTTGGAGAATTAAGAACTTAAAACATGTATACAATTATAATATGAATTATTAGCTAAGATTTTATGCTATTCTAATTAATATAACATAAACAAAAAGTAGTTTAATAAAATTTTGAATGTAAGACACTAAAACCTTGTGTCATGTGCAGTAGAGGATACCTGGGGTGATAGGGTTAATAGGTTTTCATAATGATATACTTATTTTTATGATGCCAGAAAAACACGTAAATTCAAGAAGTCTGGATACAAAATGATAAAAACCCTATAACCCAAGCACTTTTGAAAGGTGGACCATTCTTCTTCTTCAGTGCCAACTGGGAATGGCGGTGTAATTGAATGAGTGATAGAAAAGGGAGTTTAGTGATGTGATGAAAGTCATCTGGTCATCAAAGAAATATTTAGTATATTTTTCCATGTACTGTTGTAAGTGTGTCTCATTTCCAGTACAATGTGGCTGGTCACATTGTACTGGAAATAAGACGTACTTGTAACAGTACCGTGCTGTCAGCGTTTGGTTGGTCTGGGGTTATAGAGAGAGTCATACCAGTTCGTCCAGGATTTCATTCCCATTGGATTTTTGGGCTCAAGAAGACAGGAGATTGGTGTACAGTCATTGATTTTTCTCATCAATATCAATTTCTAGATTCTCTAAGATTCACAAGTGACTCATTCCTCATTTTGAGTTGGCATCTTTTACTAGGATTATGGATGTGAAATTTCAATGTAGTTGGCTCCTACCTGCACATTGCCATAATGCTGGCATCCCGCCACTATCAGCATTTTTTGTACACAAAGGTCAGGTACTACAGTTCAGGGATTTTACCTTTGGACTTGCATTGGCACCACATGGGCTCTGCTGAATCATATGAGTGTTTTCTTGTCACCTCCATTTCCTAGCCCTGTGTACACACCATTTCATGAACAACTGGTTACTGCTGGCACCATCTCGTCAACTGTCAGAACATCACACCCTGATTCTATTTTCAGAAACGACCAAGGCAGGATTCATTCTCAGAGCTGTGATGTCTATTCTTGCTCCAACTCAATGTGCCATCAGTCTGGGTATTTTTGTTTGTCACTTATCTCAGTCAGGCTCAGCCAACACCCATCCGACTTCTCGCTATGGAACAGGAAGCCCGACTCTTGCTCATCTCTCCTTGTCCCACTGCATGGATGATTCTTGCTCTTTTGGAAATGTCAGCCTCACTCGATTCCCTCATGTCTTTGCAATGAGCATATAAGAGGTCCTTGAAATGGTCTTTTCATGACCAAGGAATCATAAACATTGATTCACTGGATTCCCAGTTTCATTATTCAGTATCATTCTTTGATCTTGAAGGGTTGTTAGATTAGGACAGTATTAAGATATGGGTTTCGCTGCTGCCACTTCATCTAGAGATCCATCTCTTTATGAATGGGGTGCATATCTCAACAGTCGGGAATTCCAGGGTCAAGGTATGGATGACAAGGCTTCTGCACACAATATATTAGATATTCTTGCTCTTCAAAAGGTGATGCATCATGTTCTGCACACACCATTAAGAGTAAACTCGCCAGACCTCACTCCAACAATTCCCATCAAGGGGGCACTTGATTCAGGGCTCCTTGTTTTCGAACCTTGGATCTCCTTTGTCAGAACCACTCCTATCATGTCACCTTACTAGCTTGCTATGTTCCACAGGTGATGACTGCAGTAGCAGATTAATTGTCTTTACCCAAACATTCATCCAACAGAGTAGATGCTGCATCACGAGGTTTTCTATTGGATTGGCTCTCATTTGGAACACCCAACTACTGGCAATTTGGTCTCCAGTACATCACCCTCAGGCTTTGGCAATGGATGTATTCCATCAGGTTGGGACAGGATTACAATTCTAGGCCTTCCCTCCAATTCGTATGTTATACAAGCTACTAACTATGATTTGTTCCAACCCATGGTCAGGTCCTGCTGATAGCACTGGATTGACAACAGTATCCTGTTTTCTGCTTCTGTGGTATGTTCAGGAGTGCCCACCTCTTCCACTTCCTCTTTGGACATTTCTGTGGAGGCAGCCATGATCTGACATGGTACACCTAGCTATCCAGAAGCTCAAGCTTCAGGCATGGAAGCTATTTAGTCCTTCGCACAGCATCGGGGTTTAATTTCTAAGGTTGCCAAGTTTCTGTCTCAGTCTTTACTTAGTTCTGCAAAGGACATTTATTAACGAAAATGGCACACATATCGGCAATGATATATTGATAGGAGTTTGAATCCATCTCGATTAGAAGTGTCAACCATAACTCGTTTTTTGACTTGTCTCTTTGGCTAGGGTTTTGCTTCTTCTACAATTGCCCAGACAGGGAAGGAGATAAATCCTTTTCACCAATTCATCTGATCACTTTTTCGCACTTTTATGACCAATGAGATTTCGATCATTCATTATATCCAGCAAGGGTTTTGAAGGTTTTTTTTTGCTCGCACTAATGCCTTTAGAGATGCTAGACAATGGCTCTTTATTCATTGGGATCATTAAGTTTCACAGGAGTTACCACCAGTTACATTGCCAAGATGGGTATGAAATTGATCCATATTCTGGCCCTTATTCTGGGCTCTCTTTGATGGCAAGGAATCTTTGGTGAGTCACATCTAATGAGATTTGTCACATTTCTATCCCCTTAGGGGTCCAGTTTAATTGCCTGCTGGAGGACATTGTGCAGACTGGTATGTGGATTTCCCTCAATACCTTTATCTCACATTACTTGCATGATCTGGTAGTATCTGCATCTGGAGATTTTTGACTAACCCCTGTAACTATCTTAACCATTTCCACTAGAATATACAGAAGGGTGAGTATTTTCATTAATACGCTTGTCTCTACCTTTCACAGGATCCCACTCTAGGTGAGTGTTGTCCAGGCAGGTGTGCTTTTATCAAACCAATTCTGCACTAGCAACCACTAATTCAATGTACTTTATTTATGTTACAACAAGCTCTGTAGAAATGAGGTGTTCCATAAGACCACCTTGAGACAGGCCAGGTTGTATTACTGTACTATGCTGGACTACTACTCATGACCTATCATGAGTAAAGTGTAAGAGGATCCTGCCAGCCCCTGCCAATCATTGGACTGAATAAATCGGGGTCAGTTTGCTTTTAAAAATTTAGGGAACTTGTTTCACCTAGAGCACTGTTTTTCAGGACTCCCCAATACATATTTTACCCCCAGATTCTACTAGTGGAGCTAGAGAGTCTTTAGCACACTAAGGTGGTAGATAGAGGCTTTTCCTCCAGAGTTTTAAAGTGAATTTCATCCACTCTTGGAGAAGAGGCAATGTTGGGGTCCCTTCTACCCTTGTCCCTGGATGATTTTTCCCAAATGGTGGTAGGAGAAGCACCAGCCTATGCAGGAGCCTACTCATAATATTGGTTCAAACTTAACACTTGGCTATCTGGTTGGGTTGTTTGTGGCCCTTCTTTTTGATTAATATTGGTTCAGTACATTGTTCATGGAAGAGGGTCCATTGTCTCCTTGTAATTCCAAATGCAGAGTGGTCCCATCCTAGATTCTTGGTTGAGCACATTTTCTTTTTCACATCTTTCCCATAATTCTAGGGGCAAGTGGTATTAACTCTGCCCACACAGGTGGGAAGTGAGGATGAGTTTTCATAATTCCAGACCAGATTAGTTCTGTTTCTCCAGATTGAGTAAGGCATACAAGATCCCATCATTCCAAATGTGGGGTGTTGCCTTTTGGACTTCTTCAGGTAGAGATGAGGGTTTACCTTCTCGTCATGATTCCAGTGACTCGGAATGCATCATTCTATGTCTACAGGTTGGGATCCACCCCTACGTGCATGTGTGTGTGTATACATGTATATATATATTTGGTCCAATTGCCCTAGCCACCAACATGAAATATAGGGATCATGGCTCTATAATTCTAACTCCAAGCAGTGGAACCTTGGTATCTGGTTGGGGCCTGGCCAATAGTGATGATGGATCATGTCATATTCCACCTGCAGTGCATGATTTAGTTTCCAGGTGAAGAGCATTCCTGTTCTGGATGTAGTGCAGTTCTCCCACTAGGGTGCTAATTTTCTGTTGGCATTCCCATGATCTATTCAGATACATTCTGTATGGATAATGCCCTCACTGGCCCCTCCACCTTATCAATGTGGGATTCTAGCTGTAGTGTGAGAGGAGGTATGTATGTTTTGGAAGTTAACATTTTTTTAAATCGAAAATGTATTTCCAATAATACTTGCATCCTTTCACACTCTCCCTCTCTTCCTCCTCACTAAGAGCCAGTGTTAGAGACTGCAAATTGGGTCAGTCTCAAAAAAATGATATTATCTAAATGAGGTACTTATATACAGTACAAGGATAGAGAATGCATTGACGTAGGTGAAGAGTATCACGAGATAGATATTGCCAAGGGCAATTAAGTGGGAAATAAAAGAGTGGAGCAAGCGAGAAAATATCAGACCAATGCTTAGATGGGCAAAGGAAAAAACCCTGGCGTTGAGTAATAGCTGTAGTGTGAGAGAAGGTATTATGTGAAATACACATTTTGATTGCTAAATACTAATAACTTGATTTAGGTAAACTATTATTTTTTTCTTTATTAATTGGTAAAATTTTCTTTTAATTCTGTAATACTGAATATGTAAAGAAGGTAGTCTTCTTGTCATTTTTTATGTAAAAATATATTATATTGGCACTGGAAAATCCTTAAAAGGTTGAAATTATTTTAATAATCAATGTTTCACTTGTCCAAGAGCCTAACTTATATCTGACAAGTGTGCATAAGGCAAACCTTTTTTTTCACCATAACATCACTGTATCACCTGCAGTTAAATTGTTATCATTTGACATATTAGTAATAAGAAATAAAAACAGCTGTAACACTGTGATTCTTTCTCTGAATTTAAGACATTGGAAAGTCTGTAAATATGTTAATACTATAAGGTTTAATTACTGTCCTACTCAATAAGGTGTTCTATATAAATAAAATATTACTGTCTTTTGTATGTCCATGTAACCACTTCGCAGGGTTTGGATGGATCTTCACCAAAATTGGTATGAAGTTTCATTAGGTCCATGCAGGGGCACATTCAAATTTTCAGTTTTGTGTTTTTAATGGGCATTTTTGTGCTTTTACATTTTCTACCACTTCGTCACCCCTTGTAGATAGATCTTCACCAAATTTGGTATTGATGTTCATTGAGTCCATGCAGAGATACATGCAAATTTTCAGTTTCACATTTTGTGTTTTTTACAATTACATATAAGGGAAGCAACTTTTTATATCCTAAGATAACCTGTTATGTAATCATAAATTTACATAACTTCCATCCAGGGGGTGGGTACTCCAGATAGTATTAAATATAATTTTGTTTGCAGTTAATTCATAATTTTGTAGAACACAAGTGAACATCTGTGTTAAAATGAAGTTATGTGTTTGATTCTTTTCTACAGTGGAGTCTTTGAGTGACATTATAATTAGCCTGTTACAAATATATATATAGTTTTTGTGAAAGAATAATCTCTAATTCAGTACAGAAAAGAATTCATTATTAACATACATTATTATGGATCAGATATTACTGTGAATTCTTAGAATGAAACATAAAGCTAGTCAGTAATCATAAGCATAAAAGTATATATACTTTGTCAAGTGTATATATGTAAAAACCATTGCAAATGTAAAACAAATGAAGTGACAGTAAAATTTATCACTTAGCTATATTTACTATAAGCATAAAGCAAAAGTGAACATAAATTTGCAAACAGTAACAGATATCAATATTAAATAAATATATTTTCCTGTTTTTCTATAAATTGGTTATGCACTGCTCTTATATATATGTACGGTAATTTTTTTTTTTCTAGTTCTACATTGCTGTGATATCAGCCCATGCTTTCTTTTTGGCTATCAGTCAATTTATAACTTGTATTAATGGAGACTGGAAAGGTGAGTACAGGTGTAGAACTAAAAGTGGATGAGATTGTTCAGTTAAATTCTTTTTTTCTGTGTTGATATGAAACATGTACAGTCATCTGATTCTAAAATTTTAAGTAAGTATGAACTGTGCACATGGTACAAGCAAAGCTTTTTGTCAGTGAATAAGGATTAACAATCTTCTAATGGCTAGTCTTTGATATTTTGACTCCTGTATGAATATTGCAAAACAAAAATTTATTTTCTTGTCGTTTAAATATGTCAGCATTCAAAATCCCAGTTATCAATAGTAGAATAATGTGCAAGTTAATTTTAAAAACATAAGAACTTTAGAACGAGCATGATAACTAAAGTATATTTGGCTCATCAAAATCACCCCTATCTTCCAGACAATAAACACCAGGAAGCAATCACCTAAATGTTATCTTTTATGTACATATATTAACCAAATATAAAGTTAAAAGAATTTAGATAACAAGCTTTGGAACTTGGAGCAACATTTGTTTTATACAGAACCACTGTAAAGTTATAGGTTGCCTATGACATGGCATCACTGAAGTTAATAATATTAGTTTACTCCTATTCTTCAGTTTATTAAAACCAGGTATACAGCCTTATGGCTTTTTGGTGTACTATTTACAGTAGATTTATACCATTTTTAGAATATGTACATAAAGTGAGAATAAACATTTTACTCCTAAACTAAACATTTTTGTAGATAAATCCCACAACTGGATTAGATGTAGTCAGCAAAGTCACATAGTTTGTTTAGTCTTCATACATTTCTTTCAGTCACTTCTAGATTTTTCTCCCTTTCCACAATGCTAACATTATTAGACAACAGCTATGTCCAGTCTGAGTTAAAGTACTTTAGGTGATGATTTATACTTTTCAACATGAAACACATTTTACACATACTCAAACACTCGCTATGCTTATTGAAATTCTTCAAAATCAAAACTTTTTCTTAATACCAGCCTTAACCAGAAATTTAATATTGTTAGCAAATTCAGATACCTTATAGCTCATTGTGCTATTTATGTCATTTGCACAAATGGTTAGCAAGAAAGGCCTCTAGAAATTCCTTTTAGAAACCCTTTAAATCATGTTCATCCAACCAGATCATACCTTCATCCATTACCATTCTCAATCCTTTAGCAATTTGAACTACTTTTCAATATATTCTGCTGTGCCATAAAAATCTGACTTAAGAATCACATTTTGTTCAGTATCTTATCAAACATTTGCTGAAAGTCATTGGGAACAATATCTACAGGGGCACCTTCATTTATAAGAAAGAAAAAAAATAGAATTGAGAGCTTTACATTATTCAATATTGAAAAATTCCAAATTTAAGCAAATTGAATACATCTTTTCTCTTAACCCTACCAACATGGGTCTACCTGTGGTCACTGGTCCAAGGCCATGTCATCACATTTGTAGGCTCACATTCAAAATTTTATTGAACTACTATTTTATGAATGTATGTCAATAAGTTTGGTATCAAATTGTAAATTATAATTCAAATTTTAGTATTATAGATTAGTTAATTCCTTAATTTAAAAGTAAATATTTAAAAAAAATCCTAAATATCGATTTTTATGTGTCACGTGGTATGTTGAATGCAGCATTGCTCAAATTTGATGTTTCTGATGTCCAAATTCAAAGTCTATAGTTTCTTACGAATTAGGAACTCAAATTACCGATATTGACAAGCTAGAATCTAAGATGAGAACCTCCATTTATTGAATCAACCAAGGTGGCTCTGCCCACCTCTTCCATTTTTTGAAAATACTTGCTTACACCTACTTTGCCCAATTGAGAGCTCAGAATATCCCCCTAGTGATTTTCTCAGCCTCTGTGAAGTATTTGCACTGGAAACTCTTTCTTTTCATGCTAGATTCCAAGCAGTAAGGTAAGACATTAGTGAACTTAAAAAAAATCATATTTTTAGACCCAAATACAGCTTAGTTAGAAGCTTGATAAATTATAGTGGAATTCTGTGGTGTTGATATAGTAACTTATGATTTTTTGTTATTTTAAGATGCATATATAAAATCTAAAAAAAATATTTTGTTTTACATCCTCTACATGCAAAATGTGATAAGGCCTAGCAACTTTAGCAAGCAGCAAATGATTACAAAGTTTGTAACGAGAAGAGATAATTGTTTTCTATACTTCTTTATTTACTGTTCTATGTTTTAAGAAAAATAACTGAAATTCAAGAACTTATTTGTAAATAGCAATTATATATATATACATACATAATATATTATAACCAAAATGTGACTGTATTGTACAAAATACTCATCCACTAGAAAACAGAAAGACAGGTCACTTTGTAAAGGCCAGTTTTATACTCTTGGATACAGTCACATAAGTGCACGTGCATCATGTCATTGTAACTTCTGTAATTTGAGTCAGGTATGGCTGAAAGAATAAAATAAAAATAATAAATATATATAGATGTATAATGTTATGAGATTTAAGCTATTTAGAATAAACATTTGTGTTATAATTTGTAGTCATTATAGAATGAAAAAAGTATAATTTATATCTATTTCGTAATTTTTATGGTTACGAGCTTGGTCAAATTGATGAAACCCATACTTAGATACAATAGTGAAAATAACATAAAATATAAATTTTTTCTAAACAAAACGTTTAATAATCATCTGAAGGTTATAAATCTTAAAATAAAAATTAATTTGCAGGTTGGATAGTCAACATTTAAAAAGAAAAAATGCATGAGAAAATTATTACTTAAAAAATCTTATAACTTAATATAAAAATCTGATATTTTGCTAACAAAAGTCTTGTGATGTTTACTGATAATCTGCAAAATTTTGTGAAGATACACATACTGTATTAAAAGATATAGCATAAATACTATAACAAGCACAAAATGGTTATGAGGTCGGTCCTTGGGACTAAGCCCATAGTGAAAGAGTTAAGTAATAACAGTAGCAAAAATATTTAGATTTTCATTGTATATTTTCTCAACTTCCTTTTTACACTTCACATAGGTACTAAAACTCTTGACATTACATGTTTTTATTTTCTGAGCTGACAGACTAGTGTTATGATTTTCTGACACCTTACAGTCTATTAACAATCTCTGTTGTATAGTGAATGGTCTGTGTCAGTTGCAGACTGGCCACTGATGTTCTCCAAATTTTATGCTCCCCCTCATTAATCAAAAATTAGTGGTTCATAAAATATCAACGTTCAGTACATTAACTACATAATGAAGGAAACATACAGTATGAATTTTGTGTATATTGGAAATGTGTATTCATTTCATGTTTATAACTTCCATGAATAAAAAAGATGTGTTGATGTTACTTACATAATACAATTAGAAACTCTGTTTTTTTATCTCGTATAGTATCATGGGAGTGCTTTACTTTGATAATACAAACTCAGACTAAATGTTCATACTTCACTATTGTCTACAACAAGCAACATGAAACAATGAAATTGGATTACATTGCCTTATGTATATTTATTGTGTATTTTTTTACTAGGCACAGCTTTAAATTTTTATGATATTTTTTCAATTAGTATCATTTCAATACTTTATAAAAAATGTATTGTTAGATTTTGATGTGAAACTGAAGGTGAAAATGCTCTGAGTTATTTCATTTGTTAAAAAAAGACAATTATAAGCAAGGAATAACTAGAACGATACTGAAATTAGTTAAAAGTTTATATTACCACAAATACTGGCATTTTAAAGTGTCATTTCTAAAGAAAATTGTAATACAGGCAATCTTCCAGAAGAAGTTGCTAAGTTAAAGGAGGCTTTTGTGGAGAATTATTTCCCTCAGAAGTTGGAAGAGAACATTGCTACTAAAGTATCTTCAACAACAACAAAAATGATAAAATAACAGATGAAATTTTACTAATACTTGCAAGCTTACTTATTGTAAAAGTTTATGTGAAAAATTTCCCTGTATTTTACAAAGTGCACAAGCTGTCCATTCTGTGCATGCTAACTAAAGTAAAACCGAATACCCCAATCACACTCTGACAATTGTTGTATACAGTCACATATGAATGTACAATAAGAAGAGAGTTTGAGATGCTGAACGGCCACTTCACTTAAAGTATAGAAAGCCCTCATGATGTGTATCTATATTTAGTAAATTGATAAGTATTTATGAACATCAGTTTGAATGTGACTAGTTGCATTATGTCACTGAAGTGAAAATTATAGATAGGGATGACCACTTTCATTAATACTAGATAAAAGAAGTTAACCATATCAAGAAGACAAAATATGGACCATGATGTAGCATGAATGGAACTTAGTTCTCTTTGAAATCGACTGATTAATTTATATTCTATAATCTTTAACATAATTATGTCACTGATTTGATTGCTTGTACCATGATTACAGTTATTTCTTAACTCATATTTCACATTCCTTTGATTTTTATAAAATCTGTAAGTTTTATTTAATTGCTTTATTGAGTTTTTGGAACCAGTATTAGCTACTTGTTTAGTTTATCTTACATCATGGTGATACCTGACACTCACGGTTGTACACATACTTGTGTTCTTGCTTGTATCAGTCATTTGAATACCTGCATTCTGTATATTGTTAGTTAACAGAAACAGGATCAAAAGCTTACAAATAAGAAAAAAGTTTCATTGTGATATAAGCCTTTTTCTAGGTGTTCCAGTGTTATTCTCTGCAGATATAAAGGATGACATTCAATAATTTCATTAACAGCAATTACACCTTATTGCAAAGACTGTGGCATTATGGTAAAAAAAACAAAAAAATTACTAATTTCAATTTCTTTCACAGTTTATAGTCATACAAGTTGATTGCCAATTAATTTGTACCTATGGTACTGTTGTTTTCTAACTAACAGTTAAGCCTTGTACAGGATTCAGCAACCTACAGCTCTTTAACCCTCTCACTGTCCAATTATTCAAATGGGGGTTACATGCATTGTGGCTTGGTATCTTGCATTTTTACCAAAAATTTAAAAAAATGACTCTTGTGATTTGGGTTGCTGACCCCTGGCCTTTTATATCACATGATAATGAGATCTTTGAAGAGTTTGGAGGCGTAGCAATAAAAAATATTCTATTGTTAAAGTGCTATAAAACTCAGTTAAATTAGAACTCCTACAAATTCTGCTCAACTTATTTAAGTATAGTCTGGCTTTAGGATACTGCTTAACCTTTCCTCTAAACCTGTGATACAAATATAACCAGTGTTATGCTAACACTCATATAATCTCAGTCTGATTAATGACAAGTAAAAAATATTAAACTGTAATTATAAGCAGATAAAAGAGGTGAATATTAGTTAATTAATGAAAAACATATTATACTTACCTTCTTTTGCTGCTTTCATCTGTTTTGATATAAAATTAATAGGCGTCACTTTAATGCTCTGTCATTATACATATACAAAAATGTTGTTGTTTTTGTTACATTATTTGGATAATCTCCAAAGATTTAGTTATTTTCTCATATTAACAAGCAAAATTATTACGTGAACACCTTTCAAAGAAAGAAGTTCGTATTGTAAATTAAGCATTTTAGAATCATGTTATTTATCAATTTTATATCAATATTTATTAAAACTTAATAGCCTAGAATAAGGCTTATTTTTATATGCCATGTATTATTTCATTACTTTTTTTTTTCAATGAATATACATATATATATATATCATTACAGAATGTTCTTCATACTCTCCACCTGTTACCGTTGTCCTGCTACTTTTCCTAGTATTTGAAGCTTTGTTATTTGCTATATTTACTTTAGTTATGTTTTGTACACAAGTCCAAGCAATATGGAATGATGAAACGGTAGGTAAAGAAAGAGAAAAATGATGGAATAAAATTCACTTTTCTTATTATATGGTGTAATCTTACACAAATATGGAATTAAGTTTTAAATAATATGTGAAAACATTACAAGGTGTAATGTATCTTGAAGTGATTTTTTAAATCTGAAACAGAATTATTGTTGAGCAAAACTGTAGGGATTTTTTTACATTTTACAGTACAACTTAATAAAATATGGCTACCAGTTACTAAGAAAAAAAGAGAAATCTGTAAAAACTTTTAACAGTTTTAGCCTGAATTATTCATTTTTGTATATGTAATTTTGATGTGGCAAGATTATAGATCAAAAGCTTTTGGACAAGATCATAACTTGAGGTTTCTGATGTAACATAGACTAATGAACTGCTACATAAATAATGGAACTTTAATGCATTATCACGGTAGTATGATGAGAAATTACAACTGGTCTAACTCATGACTGACTCAAATCGCAAAAGAACAAAGATCATAATAAAAAAAAATTATATTGCTTACATAAGATACTAAGAATAACAAAAACAAATGAAACCAGCATAAATTTCTGGTACTATAACAACTAGACTTAAACATTATCAATCCAATATGATATTGTTTTATAAATAACATTTGCACAAAAAATAACAATAATGTATCCATGCAACGAATAACAATTTTACTATGACATGCAATGAAATTGCAAACGAAACCAGCAGAAAAATTATGTAGTGTAAAGTTCACATTTTTTCTTTTACTCACCTGTGATAATGTTGTATTATAAACTTGTTTAAATCTGGGTTCAAGTGAAAAATAAAACTCTTATAATATGGTGCAAAACAGGACAAAACCCAAAAGATGTTACCTCTAACAAGTTGTGATTCTATTTGTTGGTACAAGCCTTGCAATTAATGTGATAGAGTTCACAGATACTTTTTAGTCTTATCAGTAGACAGAATTTTCAGAGCAATTACTGTAGATATAAGAAGGAAAATAAAAACCATAACAGTAATTAAAGCACTTAGACTTGGCAAATCATTCCACATATATATAATATCAGGAGCCATGATAGTGACTCAGCCAAGTTTAGAAATGCACACTATCAAACATTATAAGCAAACAATAGAAACGTTACTTCTGTGAGCTCTTGTTTAAAATGAGATGAGTTATTGCTTGGAATTTTAAATTTGTTAATAACTTATAATTAAAGACCATTTTGTGAACCATTAATATTGTATCAGAATTGTCTATACATGAAAAACATGTCTTTTAAGTTTTGTACTCCTAGATTCAAGTATGCAATAATTATTAACTGTTCAAT